TTATACAATACAATTTGCCCTTCATAGCATAGAAAGTGTTTTCTTTGTATATTTACTTTCATATTTTATAGTTAATTTTAATAGATAGTTATCAATAATTAAAGATGTTAGTGCTTATAATACTTCAATATAATTTATGATATTCTAATTTTATTTTTTCTATCTTGCAGTATTTTTTCAGTAATTTACTATTTATTTTTATTTTGTTTTTACCTAAGTCACCTATCACTTTGGTTCATCTATATGATATTTCTCTGTCTTAACTATTTATTAACTGCATTTGTACTCACGATTTTTATTTTGTATTTAACTACACTTATATTTGTGATGCTTATACTCTGCTTATTTGTGTGTTTACTCAACTTAATTGACCTTTGTCCTTATCTTGAGTTATACTTGGTACTCATATGGGTGCTCGCTCACTTTCTTCAATATGTCTTCTTTTCCATTGTTGTAGTTGATACTTATTTGTTATTTATAAAGGAAAGGATAGGAAAGGAAAGGCCTCGAAGATGAAAATGTCCATAATCATGGTTTTAAATGATCTTGACCTTGATATGAAGAAAGAAATAGAGTTTGATATCGTTTCATGCCCATAATCATAGATTTTGTCGAAAAAAAAAAAATTAGTAAACTAGAAAGATTATATTTGATATCAATAAGGTAGGTAATGAAATCAAAAATAATTTTTGTTTTTTAATTATAATTTGATGAGAGTCCTACAAAAATAAATCATCTTTATTAAAAATTAAGTTCCACAAGTGTGAAAAATAAAAATAAGTAGCAACATTTGGTTCAATAGTTATGAAGTAATCGAGATTATGATAATAATGATGCATGCACTAAACTTAATGTAGAAGGGAATTTCTTTGTTTCTTTTGGTTCATAATAAAATTTTTATCAATCCAGTTGGCTAGTAATTAATTACAAGTTGAGTTGATTGGGAAACAAAATAAAAATTGCATATCAATTATGTACCGTTAAAAAAAAAAAAAAGTTAACAGAAAACATAAAAAAATTAAATAAAAACAACTCATTGAAGAAGCTGTACTTTCGCTTCTGTTCGTTTCTTATACCTTCTTCTCTCTAAAACACCAACAATGGACTTTTTTCATTTTTATATTTTATAAAAACAAGCCCGAAATTACAACTTGTTTAAACCCAATAGCTCTTTCTCTCTGCTCTTCCGAGTGTCTCTCCAACTTCTTCTTCTTGAGCTTCACAGAACATCTACATTTTCTACAAATCTTTAATCTCTTTACTTTTACTTTTTCAATACTTTATATCATGCTATAATAAAAAAGATAAAATAAACAAGAACTCCATCCTGAACATGTTGGGTTTTGGGTTCCCTCATACGTAGAAAAACCTAAATATTTTTTAGCCAACTTATTTTTTGGCCATTAAGGTTATTAGAATTCTTTTTTTGGTATACCACTTTAACTTTAATGAATAGTATAAAAACAAGTTTTTAGCTATCAAAATAAAAAAGTGGACAGAAAAAAGAATTTTTGCTGAAAAATTACATCCAATGTATTTTGTTTCTTTCCACGTTCAGACGGTGATTTTTATCCAAATCAAGCTAAAATTTGGTAAGTATTTGAAAACTCATTGTTCTTCATTTGAAACGTTGGAGATTGATTTTCGACGGTTGAATTTTCAGTCATTTCAGTTCGAAATAACTGTTCACGTTTTTCTTCTCTGCACGGACCAGTTTGATTTTCTCTGACGATTGGACGGTCATTTATGGTCTTATGAGGCTGAAATTTGGTGAGATTGTTCAAGATAAGTTGTTCTTTAATCTGAACAGTGGAGATCAAATTTGAACAATCACAACGCATCCGTTTCGCATTAACAGTAACTGTTTTGGTGATATTTCTCCATTCACTTGTTTATTTTTTCTTGTTCGGTTGATTTGTTGTTGAGTATTTGTTCGAAAATTATAATGGTTGTTTATTATCGCTGTAAATACTAATTTTTATAGTAGATTTCTTTTTATTAAATAAAGAAAGATCCTGTAATTTTTATCATTTATATTGAAAGAGTTCTCTAGAAATTTAGTATCTTTGTATTATTATTTTTAAATATTTTATGATAGATTTTATCATATTTATTTTGATAAAATTTTTACTTAATTTTCATCCCCTCGTTAAAGTGCTTCCTTACGTAAGAAACTGTCAGACTTGGATTTCTCTCATCCTATGCTTTATTTTCCAATTACAAAAAATCCTCCGTTATGTTTTGTTTACAAAAATAAAACCGTAAAAATCTCACGCACAGTTGAGTCGCTTTCCTCTATAGGTGTGAGGATTCGAGGTTAGAAAATTACGAGTAAGTTGTTTTTATTCTTCCTCTTCTTTGCTCTGTAAATTGGTCGATTCTTCTTCTTTGTTTCTTTACTCTCCCAACTGGCTATGACGTACTTTCTACTTTTGGAAAGTCTGTGTTGCTTGGAATACTAGAATGCTTAGGAGCATACTGAATCCATTCTGGGGTAGAGCAAAAGGAGCATTACTGAATCCCACCCTCTGTTCCCACCATACACCACCTGCGACCAATTTTGTTTCATCTCAGCATCTATAAATATATATACACACATATATACATATATATATATATATATATATGAAATGAACCAGTTTTCTTTTAAAGTTTACGGACCTGTAATTTGTGGTAAGATGATGGAGGAAGACCAAAATCTCTAGCTTGGCCAATTCATTCCCAGGACAGGAGTGGGTCCCATTGCCAGGACCTGTAATTTGTGGTAAGATGATGGAGGAAGACCAAAATCTCCAGCTTGGCCAATTCATTCCCAGGACAGGAGTGGGTCCCATTGCCAAATGGCATGAAAGTGTTGGGTTTTGAAGCAGACTGTTATATGATTGAACAATAAATAAATTCTAAAAAATATATTGTTATATATATATATATATATATATATATATATATACAAGGATGAATTCATTCTTGAAAAGCTCACCTCAAATCTTGAAGGATCAAACTTTTCAGGATCTGGAAATATTTCTGGGTTATGGTGAATGTTTCTGAAAAGTGGTAAAACTTTCCACCCTTTTGGTATCAGATACCCTGTAAATTACCCAACACATGTCTAAATTCATATACATATACGTATATATTATATTAAATTATCTGGGTATTAAATTAATTAAAAATAAATGTTGATTGAATGCTAACTAAGCTTGATATTCAACATCTTCGACAGCTGCTCTGAAAGTAAAGGATAAAATTGAAGCAACCCTCATAATCTCCTGAATCACCATACAACTGATTGGCATCTTTTTCGTATCTGCCCAACTCTGCTCCTTCTCTACACCATCTTTATCTTTGGTTTTTCTTATGCCTTCCTGTTCTTCCTGCAAAAAAATCATCAACTCCATTCCTATTTTTTCACTCCCGCTAAATATAAATCATCTACATATATATATATATACACACACACACACACACTTACAGTGACAGCTTGGAGAACAGTTGGGTTTCCCCAAGATGCTTGACAATCCAGGTTAGAACACTTGCAGTGGTGTCACGGGCGGCGAAGATGACGCCGATGATGTTATCGGCGATTTGCTTGTCGGTTAGTCCTTTATCCCCCATGAAAGATCCAAGCAAGTCATTATGCTCAAGCTTCATTTGACGCCTGCTTGGTGGGATTTTGGTCAAAATCTGAGCAAGCTCTTTTCTTGCTTTCATGGCTTTATGGAACAGAATCCCTGAAACATTAATGGGCATCGAATTGTACCCTTTCTCCAGAATGTAGTAGCACCTTTTCAGATCGTCTCTGTACAAAACCTCGTCTTTTCCAAATATGGAAAGGAATGCTACATCGAACGTGTACTGGAAAATCCCAAAAAAAAAAAACCAAGAAAAGGTCAAGACTTTGTTTTTCTTCCATTTTGAAATGAACGAGAAGAAGGGTAAAAAAAAAAAATCGCGACTGTTTTCATTTCCTGGTAAGTGTTGATGAGCTTTCCTTCCCAAGATTTCAGACAATCCTCCGCGATGGATTCAATATCAGAGACTATCTTTTTAATTGCTTCAGGCATGAAAGCACGAAGAACAAGTTTCTTCAATGTGCTGTGATGTTCTCCTTGGCTGAAAAAAGATGGCTTGTTTCCCCAACATCCTCTCCTTGCTCGCTGGGAATATTGGTTTGAACAGGTGAGCTTTTGTGACAAGAACAAATTTTGCAGCTTCTGGGCTGGAAATGATCACGCACGGGCAACCCAACCTGTGGGTCTTGAAGATCGGACCATATCTGAAAAGCCCATAAAACAAAAATCCAATTCTTACCCACAATAAGTAATCAAGATTAGAAAATGTTGTGAAAACCTATTTCGTGGGTGTACTACCTTGTCTGTTTGTTGTATTCTAAGAGAGATGAGTTGTATTCTAAGAGAGAAGAAGGAGATGAGTTGTATTCTAAGAGGGAAGAAGAAGAAGGGGTATAAATAGCCATAGAAATACATGGGAATGCTCTACGAAAGAACAAACAGAAAAATAACTGCCACATCGTGTAGAAACGACTTACAGTTGGCTTTGATAACCCTAATTAACAACTGCTGTTTGTAAAAAGCCATTGATCTTCTTTTGTTCTAAACAAGTTGGCATTCAAAACCTTTGTTTTCCACCTTGAGGGGGATTGAAAGATGAAGGAGAAGATTTTTCAATCATGGCTATAGGTAGGTGTCAAACGGGTTGACACAAGACTCAAAAATAATTTGAAAATCTAAATACCTCAAAATTACTAATGATCTTATTAGGACTAGATCAGAATGTTAGAAAATTTACTAGTCTATTCTAGAAATCATAAGGTTCTAGGTGATATGAAGTGGGAAGTTGTGAAGTAATCACTCCTGTAGGCTAAAAAACAAAGTAATTTGCATATAAAAAATCTCATCTAGGATACGAAGTGTGTGAATTTGATTTAAATAACTTATTAAACTATGTAATCATGAAGATAAGAATTAAAGTATAAAATAAAATAAAAACTAAAAATTTATATAAAAGAGAAAAATTACATCGTAAATATGCGAATAACATTCCAAAAAAATAAATAAATCATACAAACCTACCCAATCATTTCTTAATCACTTATCTTCGAAAGGGGATTCGGTTAAAATTCCGGAACTGGGACGTGGCGGCTGACGGCAACGTTAGGGAGTCCGGAGACGTCGGCGGGGGCCTCGGGAAGAGTTATTTTTTCTGTTTAACAGCCTGCCCACCCTGGAAACGACTCAGCCGGAGCTAGGGTCCAGCGGCTGGAAGAGCACCGCACGTCGCGTGGTGTCCGGTGCGCCCTCGGCGGCCCTTGAAAATCCGGAGGACCGAGTGCCTCCCACGCCCGGTCGTACTCATAACCGCATCAGGTCTCCAAGGTGAACAGCCTCTGGTCGATGGAACAATGTAGGCAAGGGAAGTTGGCAAAATGGATCCGTAACCTCGGGAAAAGGATTGGCTCTGAGGACTGGGCACGGGGGTCCCAGCCCCGAACCCGTCGGCTGTCGGTGGACTGCTCGAGCTGCTCCCGCGGCGAGAGCGGGTTGCTATGTGCCGGCCGGGGGACGGACTGGGAACGGCTCCCTCGCGGGGGCCTTCCCCGGGCGAACGGCATCGTCAGGGCGCTGGATGGACGACAACGATGTCGTTTAACATTTTATTTAATGTATCGTTTTGAATCCTCAGGGACTAGAATTGAACGGCGTCATTCGAGCGCTAGTTGTGCAGCGGCAATGTCGTTTAACATTCTATTTAACACGTCGTTTTGAGTCCTTAGGGATTAGATTTGGACGGAGTCGTTCGAGCGCTGGTTGGGCGGCAAAGATGTCTTTTAACATTTAATATAACGCGTCGTTTTGAGTCTTCAGGGAGTAGACTTGAACAAGGTCGTTCGGATGTTTGTTGGGCGGCTTTCGACGGGTTAAACGACATGAATTTTTTTTTTAAAGTTTATATTGGACTGAGTCTATCAATGAAAAAAAAAAAAAAAAAAAAAAAATCGTGAAGCGTACGTGGGCTTGAGATAAAAAGAAAAAAATGAAAAGGAATTCTCTTTTTTTTTT